CAAATTTTTCACTTTACCGATGTGTATTTTTTAAATCATCTATAAATTAAAACAACAAAAAAAAATTGAAAATTCCAGGAATTTAAATCGAAAAACTGCAAAATCTAAAAACTGAAGAAGCAAAATCATGAACAACTGAAAAAAAATTGAAGAAACCAAAAATTGAAAAAACAAATAATTATAAAACGGAAAATTAGTAAAAATGAAGAAAAAACTCAAATGAAAAATTGCAAATCGATAATTTGAAGAAATGAAAATTAAAAAATCGAAAAATTGAGAAATCTAAAAATTGAAAAACTGAAGAAACGAAAAATTGCAGGAAAATTCAAGACACTTTAAATAGAAAATCGAAATCTTAAAATTTAAGAAATCAAAAAATGAAAAATTGATAAATCACAAATCGAAAAATTGAAGAAACGAAAAACATGAAAAAAATTAAAGAAACCAAAAATTGATATTAAAAAAATCAAAAATTATAAAATCGGAACCTTGAAAACGGGAAAATTTGTAAAAATGAAGAAAAGAAAAAATTGCAAATCGAAAATTTGAGGAAATGAAAATTAAAGAATCGAAAAATTGCGAAATCTAAAAATTGAAGAAACGAAAAACAGAAACAATTGAAAATTGAAAACTCGAAGAATTCAAGCAGAAAAATTCCAAAATCTAAAAACTGAAGAAGCAAAAACATAAAAAACTGAAAAAAAATTGAAGAAACCAAAATAAAAAATATATATATTCAAAAAAGGCATATATATACAAAAAATGGAAAATTTGTAAAAATGAAAATCAAAGAATCGAAAAATTGCAAAACCTGATGAAGCAAAAACATGAAAAACTGAAAATATTGGAACTAAAAAAACAGAAAATTATAAAGTAGAACCATTTTAAGTCGAAAAATTGAAAATTGAAAACACGAGGGATCCAAATCGAAAAATTGCATAATCAAAAAATTGAAGAAGCAAAAACATGAAAAACTGAAAAAAATCGAAGAAACGAAAAATTGAAGAAATTGATATTGAAAAACAGAAAATTGAAACTTTGAAAAATAGAAAACTTGTAAAAACGACGAAAATACAAAATTTTAACAAAAAATTGCACATCGAAAATTTGAAGAAATGAAAATTGAATTAAAGAAACAAAAAAAACGAAAAATTGATAAAGCACACTCTAAAAATTGAAGAAAACAAAAACTGAAGAAATGAAGAAACTAGAAATTGGAAAAAATGATTCTGAAGAAACCCAAAATTATTAGATCGGAACATTGAAAAATGAAGACGATAAATAATTGAAAAGAAATGAAAATTACAGAATCGAAAAATTGCAATTCTAAAAATTGAAGAAACAAAAAAATGAAAAACTGAAAAAAGTAAAGAAACGAAAAATTGAAAAGATTGATATTGAAAAAGAGAAAATTATAAAATAGGAACCTTGAAAAATGGAAAATTTGTAAAAATGAAGAAAATAAAAAACTGAAGACGAAAAATTGCAAATCGAAACTTTGAAGAAACGAAAAATTGCAGAAACGAAAAACTGAAACAATTGAAAATTGAAAACTCCGGGAATTCAAGTCGAAAAATTGCAAACTCGAAAAAGTGAGAAAGCAAAAGCATCAAAAACTGAGAAAAAATGAAAGAAACCAGAAACTGGAAAAATTGATATTGAAAAAAAACAAATTATAAGATCGGAACATTGAAAAATGGAAAATTTGTAAAAATTAAGAAAATGAATAATTGAAAAATTGCAAATCGAAAATTTGAAAGAATGAAAATTAAAGAATCGAAAAATTGAAATCTGAAAAAGTCGAGACATTTTAAGTCGAAAAATTTCTAAATCTAAAAATTGAAGAAATTGATATTGAAAAATAGAAAATAGAAAACTTGTAAAAACGAAAAAATAAAAAATTTAAATGAAAAATTGCAAATCGAAAATCTGAAGAAATGAAATTGAAGAATCGAAAAATTGCAAAACCTAAAAAACTGAAGAACCAAAAATGAAAAATTTGATAAAACATCTCGAAAAATTGAAGAAACGAAAAATTGCAATTGGAAACTAAAAAAATTGATACCGAGAACACTGAAAGTTATAAAATAGCTTCAAAATGGATGGAAAATTCGTAAAAATGAAGAAAATAAAAAACTAACAAAAAATTGCAAATTGAAAATTTGAAGAAATGAAAATTGAAGAATCGAAAACTTGAAAACTGAAAAGTCGAGACATGTTAAGTCGAAAAATTGAAAAATCTAAAAATTAAAATAAAGAAACAAAAAAAAAACCGAAAAATTGATAAATTACAATCTAAAAACTGAAGAAACAAAAACATGCAAAACCAAAAAAACAATTAAGAAACACGAAATTAAAAAAACCCAAAATTATAAGATCGGAACATTGAAAAATGGAAAATTTGTAAAATGAAGAAAATAAACAATTGAGAAATTGCAAATCGAAATTTTGAAGATATCAAAAATAAATAATCAAAAAATTGAAAACTGAAAAGTCGAGACATTTTAAGTTGAAAAATTTCTAAATCTAAAAATTGAAGAAACTAAAAACTGAAACAGTTGAAAATTGAAAACTCGAGGAATCCAAATTGAAAAATCTTAAAATTGAAGAAAACAAAAACTGACAGTGGAAAAATTGATTTTGAAGAAATCCAAAATTATAAGATCGGAACATTGACAAATGGAAAATTTGCAAAAATGAAGAAGATAAATAAATAATTGACAAATTGCAAATCGGAAATTTGAGGAAATGAAAATTAAAGAATAGAAAAATTACAAAATCTAAAAACTGAAGAAGTAAAAACGTGAAAAACTGAAAAAAGTGATGAATCGAAAAATTGAAAAAAATTGATACCGAAAAAACCCAAAATTTTAAAATAGGAACGTTGAAAACTGAAAAATTTGTAAAAATGAAGAAAATAAAAAACTGAAGACGAAAAATTGCAAATCGAACCTTTGAAGAAACGAGACATTGCAGAAACGAAAAACTGAAACAATTGAAAATTGAAAACTCCGGGAATTCAAATCGAAAAATTGCAAAAACTAACAACTGAAGAAAGAAAAACATGAAAAACTGAAAAAAATTGAAGAAACCAGAAATTGGAAAAAATCGATATTGAAAAAACTCAAAATTATAAGATCCGAACACTGAAAAACGGAAAATTTGTAAAAATGAAAATAAATAATTGAAAAATTGCAAATCGAAAATTTGAAGAAGTGAAAATTAAAGAATCGAAAAATTGAAGAAACGAAAAACTGAAACAATTGAAAATTGAAAACTCGAGGAATCCAAATCGCAAAATTGCAAAATCTAAGAATTGAAGAAACAAAAACACGAAAAACTGGAAAAAAATGAAGAAACGAAAAACTGAAAAAATTGATATTGAAAAACCAAAAACTATAAAATAGGAACATTGAAAAATGGAAAATTGAAAAAATGAAGAAAATAAAAAACCGAAAACGTATAATTACAAATTGAAACTTTGAAGAAATGAAAAATTAAAGAATCGCAAAAGTGAAAAATAAAAAAGCTCGAAAAGTTTTAAATGGAAAAATTGCAAAATCTAAAAATTGAAGAAATACAAAAAAATGAAAAATCAAAATTGAAAATTGAAAACTTGAGAAATTCAAATAAAAAAATTGCAAAAATTAAAAATCTGAAGAAGCAAAATCATGAAAAACTGAAAAAAAATATTAAGAAATCAGAAATTGAAAGAAATCGATATTGAAAAAACCCAAAATTATAATATCGGAACACTGAAAAATGGATAATTTGTAAAAATGAAGAAAATAAATTATCGAAAAATTGCAAAGCGAAAATTTGAAGTAATGAAAATTAAAGAATCGAAAAATTGAAGAAAAGAAAAACTGAAACAATTGAAAATTGAAAACTCGAGGAATCCAAATCGCAAAATTGCAAAATCTAAGAATTGAAGAAGCAAAAACACGAAAAACTGGAAAAAAATGAAGAAACGAAAAACTGAAAAAATTGATATTGAAAAACAGAAAATTATAAAATAAGAACATTGAAAAATGGAAAATTTGAAAAAATGAAGAAAATAAAAAACCGAAAACGAAAAATTACAAGTCCAAAGTTTGAAGAAATGAAAAATTAAAGAATCGAAAAAGTGAAAAATAAAAAAGCTCGAAAAGTTTTAAATGGAAAAATTGCAAAATCTAAAAATTGAACAAATAAAAAAAAAGAAGAAACAAAATTAAAAATTGAAAACTTGAGAAATTCAAATCAAAAAATTGAAGAAACCAGAAATTGAAAAAAAATCGATATTGAAAAAACCGAAAAATATAAGATTGGAGCACTGAAAAATGGAAAATTGGTAAAAATGAAGAAAATAATAATTGAAAAATTGCAAATCTAAAATTTGAAGAAATGAAAATTGAAAACTCGAGGAATCCAAAACGCAAAATTGCAAAATCTAAGAACTGAAGAACCAAAAACATGAAAAACTGAAAAAAAAATGAAGAAACGAAAAATTGAAAAAATTGATATTGAAAAACAGAGAATTATAAAACAGGAACATTAAAAAAGTGAAAAATAAAAAAAAATGAAAAATTGAAGTCAAAATCTGATAATTCTAAAACCGATAAAATTGCTTTTGTAACACGGAATGAACGTCACTTTCTTGTCTTTAGTGCCGTTTTTTATAACACACTAATTTAATTTATAATTCCCGATCACGTAGCGTTTTATGTGTTGGTTATATAAAAATACTGAAATAGGTTCTTTCAACGACTAAATAAGACGAAAAAATTCTAACAAACTCCGGCAAACACCAGATTCGGTGAAGAGCCCTCTGGACAAGCACACGCGTTGGAGCGGAACATTCGCTTTCGTACTACATTATATTAAAGTTAGATTTAATTTTAATAACACTGAAAAGATTGAAGGTAACTTAGATCGATCGGCAATAATCTGCCCGTTTGAATAATAAACGAGCATCGAAACGGAACCAACTCCACCTTATAACTACGTATATACTTTACCTGTGAGGTAAAGAAGACGAGTTTTCTTTCCATCTCCGGCGTCAGCCTCGACTGCAGATACCTCCTCGACGTCCTCGCCTGCAGCAGCTGCAGCACCCCCGTGAACGTCGGACTCAGCGTCCTCGGCGCCGTCAGGATGTCCCTCCACAGCTGCTCGAACTCCGGGATTCTCGCGACGTTTTGCAACAGCCGCACTAAGTCCCGCCCGATCGCGATACAGTCATTGAACCGTTCCCTAATTAAACTAATTAAAAAAGTAACTTCTTTCTGTCTTAAGTTAGCTAAGTAAGGCGCATTGTGATCCTCGATTAGTCGTAAGTAGGTGTAAACCACGGAAGCGATCAGCAGGGGGAATTTGTCGAGCCAGCTCCTGTACTCCGTGAGGACGTCGAGGAGGGACTCGATAAGCGTAATGTTCTTGGCGGAGACGTCGCCGCCTGCGGCGTGCCGCATCAGGTTCCAGCAGAGGTTCTCCACGTTGTTGACGGCGTTCTTGATCATCTCGCGCAGCAGCCACACCACCTGGCCCTTGACCACGTCGGTGAAGCGGAGGTAGCGGTCGAGGACGAGCTGAGAGAGGGAGGTGAGGACGAGACCGAGGCCGTCGTTCGAGATGAGGGTGAGGTCGCGGTAGCCCCGGGCGGCATTGTGGGGCTCGGTGAGGATGGTCACTAGTAGCCCGAGGGACACCTTGAAACAAAGAACGCGGGATTAGTACCAATGCGAAAAGTAGAAAACGAAAGCGAATTCATAAACCACAAGTAGTGTTTTATTTTTTCTATGATAGAAAGTCGTCGGTTTTTGCATGCAGGGCTTCTATTGGTAAACGGTATTTAAAATTTATTCATTCAATGCCTACTCCGAAAGCGCTATCAAAACAAAACATTTTTTCGTTCCTTCCATTTTTTCAATTTTTACAAATTTTCGATTTTTCATTTCAGTTTCTTAAATTTTTCGATTTGCAGTCTGTCAATTTTTTATTTTATTGCTTCTTCAATTTTTGGATTTAGCATTTTTTTTTATTTCAAATTTCGCGAATTTTCAATTTTTCGTTTCTTCATATTTTCAATTATATAATTTTTTGGTTTTTCAATTCCAATTTTTTATTTCTTTTCCGTTTCTTCAATTTTGCAACTCTGAGTTTATCGAGTTTCCAATTTTTAATTTTTCGAATTATTGGATTCGTTTTATTTTCTTTATTTTTTCAATTATTCGATTTTTCAATTTTTATATTTGGCAATTTTTCGATTTAAAACTTCGCGAGTATTTCATTTTTAATTTTTCAAGTTTGCATTTCTTCATATTGTCACTTGTATAATTTTTTGACTTTTCAATTTCAATTTCTCTTTTCTTTCGTTTCTTCAATTTTGCAACTCTTGAGTTTTTCGAGTTTTCAATTTTTAAATTTTTCGATTCGTTTTATTTTCCCTGTTTTTTAAATTTCTCGATTTTTCACTGTTTCGATTTTATAATTTTTTGATGTTTCAGTTTTTTGTCTCTTCAATTTTTCTATTTAAAATTTTGCGAGTTTCCAATATTTAATTTTTCAATTTTTCGATTCGTCTTATTTTATTTTTTCAATTATTCGATTTTTCAGTGTTTCGATTTGTGATTTTTCAGTTTTTCATTTTTTTATTTTTTCAATTTTTATATTTAGCAATTTTTCGATTTAAAATTTCGCGAGTATTTAATTTTTAATTTTTCATTTCTTCATGTTGTCACTTATATAATTTTTTGACTTTTCAATTTCAATTCATCATTTTTTTTTTGTTTCTTCTATTTTGCAACACTTGAGTTTTTCGAGTTTTCAATTTTTAAATTTTTCGATTCGTTTTATTTTCCTTATTTTTTAAATTTCCCGATTTTTCACTGTTTCGATTTTATAATTTTTTGATGTTTCAATTTTAATTGTTTCTTCAATTTTTCTATTTAACATTTCTCGAGTTTCCAATATTTAATTTTTCAATTTTTTGATTCGTCTTATTTTCTTTATTTTTTCAATTATTCGATTTTTCAGTGTTTCGATTTGCGATTTTTCAATTTCTCATTTTTGTTTTCTCAATTTTTATATTTAGCGATTTTTCGATTTAAAATTTCGCGAGTATTTAATTTTTAATTTTTCAAGTTTTCCTTTCTTCATATTGTCACTTGTATAATTTTTTGACTTTTCGATTTCAATTTCTCAATTTTTTTTGATACTTCAATTTGCAACTCTTGAGTTTTTCGAGTTTTCAGTTTTTAAATTTTTCGATTCGTTTTATTTTCCCTGTTTTTTAAATTTCTCTCTTTTTCACTGTTTCGATTTTATAATTTTTTGATGTTTCAATTTTAATTGTTTCAGTTTTTTGTTTCTTCAATTTTTCTATTTAACATTTCTCGAGTTTCCAATATTTAATTTTTCAATTTTTCGATTCGTCTTATTTTCTTTATTTCTTCACTTATTCGATTTTTCAGTGCTTCGATTTGCGATTTTTCAATTTTTCATTTTTTGTTTTTTCAATTTTTATATTTAGCAATTTTTCAATTTAAAATTTCGCGAGTATTTAATTTTTAATTTTTCAAGTTTTCATTTCTTCATGTTGTCACTTGTATATTTTTTTAACTTTTCAATTTCAATTTCTCATTTTTTTTTTATTCTTCAATTTGCAACTCTTGAGTTTTTCGAGTTTTCAATTTTTAAATTTTTCGATTCGTTTTATTTTCCTTGTTTTTTAAATTTCTCGATTTTCCACTGTTTTGATTTTATAATTTTTTGATGTTTCAATTTTAATTGTTTCAGTTTTTTGTTTCTTCAATTTTTCTATTTAAAATTTCTCGAGTTTCCAATATTTAATTTTTCAATTTTTCGATTCGTTTTATTTTCTTTATTTTTTCAGTTATTCGATTTTTCAGTATTTCGATTTACGATTTTTCAATTTTTCTTTTTTTTTTCGTTTTTTCAATTTTTATATTTAGCGATTTTTCGATTTAAAATTTCGCGAGTATTTAATTTTTAATTTTTCAAGTTTTCATTTCTTCATGTTGTCACTTGTATAATTTTTTGATTTTTCAATTTCAATTTCTCATTTTTTTTGTTTCTTCAATTTTGCAACTCTTGAGTTTTTCGAGTTTTCAATTTTTAAATTTTTCGATTCGTTTTATTTTCCTTGTTTTTTTAAATTTCTCGATTTTTCACTGTTTCGATTTTATAATTTTTTGATGTTTCAATTTTAATTGGTTCAGTTTTTTGTTTCTTCAATTGTTCTATTTAAAATTTCTCGAGTTTCCAATATTTAATTTTTCAATTTTTCGATTCGTCTTATTTTCCTTATTTTTTCAATTATTCGATTTTTCAGTGTTTCGATTTGCGATTTTTCAATTTTTTATTTTTTTGTTTTTTCAATTTTTATATTTAGCAATTTTTCGATTTAAAATTTTGTGAGTATTTAATTTTAAATTTTTCAAGTTTTCATTTCTTCATATTGTCACTTGTATAATTTTTTGACTTTTCAATTTCAATTTCTCATTTTTTTTTTTCTTCAATTTTGCAACTCTTGAGTTCTTCGAGTTTTCGATTTTTAATTATTCGATTCGTTTTATTTTCCTTGTTTTTTAAATTTCTCGATTTTTCACTCTTTCGATTTTATAATTTTTTGATGTTACAATTTTAATTGTTTTAGTTTTTTGTTTCTTCAAATTTTATTTAAAATTTTGCGAGTTTTCAATTTCTGGCTTTCCAATTTTTTATTTTTTCATATTTTCGGTTTGTAAATTTTCGTTTCGATTAATTATTGCCATTATTTTTAAAAATTTTCGATTTTTCAATGTTCGGATTATTTAGTTTTTTGTTTTTTCCAATTTTAATTTTTTCAGTTTGTCGTTTCTCAAATTTTTCGATTTGCGATTCATTTTATCGTTTTTTCAATTTTTCGATTTAAAATTTCCGAGTTTCCAATTTTTAATTACATGTATAATTTTTTGGTTTTTCAAGTTAAATTTTTCATTTTTTTTGTTCAATTTTGCAACATTCAACTCTCGGTTTCTCGAGTTTTCAATTTTTGAATTTTTCGATTCCTTTTATTTTCTTTATTTAGTATTTCGATGTTGTAATATTTGATTTTTCAATTTTAATTGGTTCAGTTTTTGTCAATTTTTCATTTTTTTGTTTCTCCTTTTTTTAGATTTTGCAATTTTTCTAAAATTTCGCTAGTTTTCAATTTCTAACTTTTCATTTTTAATTTCATCCTATTTTCGGTTTGTAATTTTCGTTTCGATTTTTTAATGCCATTATTTTTACAAATTTTCAATTTTTCAATATTCCGATTATATAATTTTTTGTTTTTTCCAATTTTAATTTTATTATTTCTTCAATTTTTCGATTTAAAATTTCACAAGTTTTCACTTTTTAATTTTCTGTCAATTTTTCAATTCGTTTTATTTTCTTCATTTTTCCAATTATGTATTGGATTTTTCAGTGTTTTTATAATTTTTTGGTTTTTCAATTTTAATTGTTTCATTTTTTTATGTTTCTTCAATTTTCGATTTGCGATTTTCGATTGTTCACTTTTTGTTTTTTCAGTTTTTAGATTTTGCAATTTTTCTATTTAAAATTTCGCAAAACAGAAGATTTTGCAATTTTTTAATGTTCCCATTATATAATTTTTCGTTTCGATTTTTTTTACCATTATTTTTACAAATTTTCGATTTTTCAATTATATAATTATGTTTTTTCAAATTAAATTTTTCAAGTCTTTGTTTTTTCAATTTTACAACACGCCACTCTCCAAATTTTCATTACTAAATTTTTAATTTTTTTGATGTTCCAACTTATGGATGTCAGTTTTTGGATTTTGCAATTTCATGATTTTTCAATTTTTCGATTTTCAATTTTCCGTTTTGATTTTTTATTTTCTTTTTTTTAATTCTTCCGTCCTTCAATATTCAAATTTTAAATTTTGGTTTTTTTCAATGTAAAATTTTTCAATTTTTGGAGTTTTTCAGTTTTGGATTTTTTAGTTTTTCGAATTTTCAATTTTTCGTTTCTTCAATTTTTGATTCGTAATTTTTCTAGTTTTCATTATTTAAATCTGTAATAATCACTATAATTTTTAAAATTTTTCACCTTTTTAAATTTACGATTTTAGAATTTTCAATATTTCAATTATTGAATTTTAAAACTTTTCACATTTTTCGATTTTGTAATTTTTCGATTTGAGTTTCTCGAGTTTTTTATTTTTAATTTTTCAATTTGCAACTTTTCTTTTCGGTTTTATTTTCTCCATTTTTTCAATTAACCGATTTTTCAATATTAGGATTCTATTTTTTTTTTCAATTTTTCACTTTATTGTTCCTTCAATTTTTTGATTTTAGAATTTTTCGATTTAAAATTTTTGTTTCTTCACTTTTTGGATTTTGCAGGTTTTCTATTTAAAACTTCGCTAGTTTTCGATTTCTAACTTTTCATTTTTTAATTTCTTCATATTTTCGGTTTGTAATTTTATGTTTCGATTTTTTTTTTTGACATTATTTTGGCAAATTTTCGTTTTTTCAATGTTCCGATTATATAATTTTTTGTTTTTTCAATTTAAATTTTTAATTTTTTGTGTCTTAAATTTTACAGCACGCAACTTCCAGAATTTTTATTTTTTTGATGTTCTAACTTTTAGATGTGCCAGTTTTTGGATTTTGCAATTTTTCCATTTGCAATTTCA